GTCCACTCTGTTTGTACTTCACATTTGCTGCTAGCATCTTTTACTTATATTTGATAAACAAAAATAAAAAAGTAGCCTCATGTAATGTTGCATGTTGTATAGACATCTTACATTACCTAAATATTTATGTAGTCCAATTTAAAACATTCTTAAAGCAAAGTTAATCCTGCATGAAAACATATCATAACTGTAATGATGGGCACCAAAAACAACAGCTACACCAATGAATTCCTCCTTTTTTTAAATCCTAGGTACATTTAGTCTGTGACTGAAAGCTTTCCCAATGTGGCAGCAGAAAAGCCTATTGCTGTCCTGCCAGGAGTGTTCTGTTAGCACTGGGGTCCAAGAATCAGGCGATTTCAAGAATGTGTCAGGGGTATACAGGTGTGGAGTTGAAAGGAATATACCTGGAGTTGGAATACTTGTTTTCTTCAGTTATAGAAATAGAATTACTGTTCTGAACTAAAACATTGTAAGATGTTTGATGAGTTTTCTCTTTTTAGCTATCCAGTGATGAAGCTGTTAAAAAAGTCCTTACTGGGGAGAAACCAGATATCAAAGGAAAGACTCCATCTAGTAAACACCTAAACAGAGACTCTAGAACAGAGGAACAGAGGTCCCATAAAGAGGTACGTTGAACAATGTATTTGTTAGATTAATTATAAACCATATTTGTTTCATGAATAACAAAATAGAAGATTGTTTACAATTTAATATTGTTATATTTTATTATTTAGGGAAGAGGTGACTGTGAAATAAAAGAGAAGAACACAGATCAAGACCAAAAATCCAGAGAAGAGTTAAAAGAGGAAGAGAGCAAACGAAAGGAAAAAGAAAGCGACAAACATAAAGATCATGCAAACCGTCAAAAAAATCTTGATAAAGACAATTTTAAAGAAGGTGAAAAGCCTGAAAAAGAAAGAACCAAGAACAGATCATCCAAGCAGGGAAGAGAAGCTGAGAAAATTAAAGACAAAGAAAAAGGAGATGTTGAAGGAGAAAAAGACCAACGTGATAAAGAAAGAGAAAGAGAAAGGAAACAACATGAGGGAGGAAGAGAAAAAGAGAGATCAAGAGAAAAAGACAAAGAGAGGGGGAGGGACAAGGATAAGGAGCATGAAAAGACCAAAGAAAGAGGAAAGGATAAAGAAAAAGACAAGCGAAGGGAGCGAGGCAAAGACGTGGAGTCATCAAGAGAGCAAAGAAAAGACCAAGATAAAAAGGTGATGTTTTGTGGGAGTTTTTCAAAGTATGTAAACTTGCAATTGATGGCAGGTCACACATTTTTGAGCTAATCTGTATTAAAAATGCATACCCTGTCAAGTAATTTACAGTTAGATTATCTACAGATTTTCTCTGTGTGTACGTAAAACTTCACCGTAGCATAGAGCTACAATCAGCGTTGTAGGTGTTCTGATTTTTACAAAAATCATTAAACTTTGGCTTTGAAGGAACCTCTGATTTGAATTTTTGTAAAAAATCTTAACATTGAATAAGGAGTTGTTATTCAGATGTATTTTGGCTTGCCAGAAACTAGTATAGCAACATTACTGGTGGCAGGAGGCAGTGGCTATTTCTTTCATAATGTACAGTAACACTGATTGAATTGTAGCACTTATCAGAATACACATATTCTTTTTCAAGCACAACTCGGTATATTAGCAAAGATGCAGTTGGATTTCTAGAGACAAAATATTAAAAATGAAGCACTGGCAATCTTGGCTTGTTGAGTGATTAATCAGATACAATCATTGGATTAAACTGCCCACCTTTATTGTGAAAAAATATGTAAAACGTATATGAGAATGGTTGATAAAATAATGAAATACTACAGCCTTTCCTGCAAACATTTTACAATATTAGAATATTACTTGTGTTAGGTAAACTAACATATGAACAATATCTGAATCTACTCAATTGTTAGAGAATAGCCTTATCACACAAATTTCATGGATTTTAAGTGGGCAAGTTAAGCATATTCTTCAGTCTCTCTGAAATTACCTCTGGTTGAACCACACCACGCTATCGGCCAAATCCTGTTTGGATTTTACATATACACATACAGAATCCTGTAGGTTGGTGAGCTAATTGATGAGGTACTGGGTCCATGCCAGTCATATGCCCATTTATACCCCAAACCATGTGCATGGCACATGCAAAGGACTTTGTTGATTAGTGTGCAACATATGTGATTCTTCATGTGAATGTGTAAAATACCAACAGGATTTTAACCATTATGATTTAACGTAGTCTTTTCCATTATTATTTCATATTTTATTTTTATGTATGAATATACATATAAGTGCAGGTTTACATGCATATATGATTTATTGGCAGGGGTTAATTTTTTTCAGAAGTATAATAAGAAAAATGATATATTTATAATTTCAGTGTTTCACTTTAAATGGTTTTCTTCTTCTAGGCCCCAGAATCTGAGGAGAATGTGACTAAAAGATCTGTGGAACAATCTGCAAAAGATAATGCTGGGCCAGATAAAGAAGTAAGTGCTATAATGTCATCACTTTACAAATAATTGAATCTTTCATTGGCCAAAATCTGATTGTGTAGTTACTCTGAAAGGTGTAATTTCAGAGGTGAATTGTCATTAGAAATCTCCTGTTTTTAAATATTTATTTTTTATCAACTAAGAATAAGGCAGGGAATACAAAGGGTAAAAGGGAGTAGGGGGAAAGAAAAAGGGTTAGGGGGATAGGAGAACACAAAGTATACAATCATCCAATCTATTCATGTTACGATAACAAATCAACTTTCCGCTTTTTTACAATTTGATTACCCTCCAGCTTTCAACTTACAATTACGTCTTAGTTTAAATTTTTGTTACTCCAACACTATCTGGGGACTGAGGCCATTTGTATAATAAATCCCATTGTTCAGTTTCCTACTGAATTGGACAGTCTTTCAACACGTCTGAAAGAATATCCATTTCTGCCACTTCCCATATCTTCACAATACGTTCCTCTTGTTTCGGTATCTCTGCTTTCTTCCGATTTTTAACATAAAGCTTTCTGACTGTAGTTCTATATAGATCACTGGGTAACTCTTTATCTCATCTATGTTGCCTGGTATCATACTCAAAAGCGATTATGGGATTAGTGGAGTTTCATTTAACTGTTGTTTGACATCTAATGTCATCTCTTTCATCTGATCTACTATTTAGCTAAGACGTTCATTTACTTGCTGTTATTATCTTTTGCATGGTAGTCTGCCATTATTTATCTGATTCTTGTGCCACTAATTTCCCCAAACTTTGGGACTGGGCAAGAAAGTTCTCCAGCTTCAGCTTTTTGGAGGCCATTTCGATCTTCCCAATGAATGGGGTTTGTATAAATAATACTATATCCTTCACCAAAGTGACCAACCCTCAAATACCTTTCAGAAGTTCCCACTATTTTATCAACAAGCCAAACCCACAATCTAAAACCTCCCCTAGGCACTTCCTCCAATCTTTACACAGATGTTATATATCAACTTTTAGCCCAGTAGTTTAAAATACAACTGTGGCAAAAATATTCCTTCTTCTCCAGAAACCTAACAGTTCTATTATCAGAGTCCCATGCAATCCAGCGAAAAAGTCCAAACTAAACAGCAATCACAGGGTTTCAGTCTCTCCAGTAGGTGTCCTTATAGTCCGCCGTATGTACCTTTCATTAGTCCAAAGATTCAATCAGGAGCTCCAGTCCTGGTTTTCCTAGCTCCACAGTCCTCAACAACATTATCTCTTCCAGATCTATGCTATCAAGAACTCTGGTACTGCAATGTTGTTTCTCAGTCTGGTTTCCTTGCTTCTAAAGGCTCATTCCTTCTCCTCCAGAAACCTAACAAAATTCTATTATGAGAGTCCCACACAGTCTAGGGGGAAGGTCCAAGCTAAACAGCAATCACAGGATTTCAGTCTCTTAAATCCTGTCCACTGTTATTCACTCTGGGATTTTTTCCAGAAACAAACAAACAAAAAATTCTGTCTCACTCTCTCACTTTTGGCCTTGACCAGCCTGCTATCTGAGAGCCAGTTTCGCTTTTGAGGAAGCAGACTGGTAAGCAAGCTTGCCACTCTTTGCCTTCTTTCGGCTAAATATTTTCACTCTGATTTCTTTTTCCACTTAATGGGGCTGTTCATAAATCAAAGGCTTCAACTTACTTTGTTGTTGTGTATTTTTAATGCCATATTTGTTTGTTCTCCTCTCCTCCAGGGTGGGTGGGGTACTCACAGCTGCGTGCCCAAAATGGCTCCCACCTGATCTGTGGTCAGGGTGATCTCTTCAGAGGGAAGAAGCACCAGGTTGCTGCCCAGCTTCCCTCACCTCCGCTGCTCACCATGCTTCAGGAAGACTTCTCCTAGTCACCCTTTTGATCCCTCATTTCTGAAGGACCCCCAGACCGGGCGGTTCCAGCTTTTCCCGGGAGCTCTTCCCAGAAGCTGCCAGCAGCACCGTGACAAGCCCCGCCTTTTCGTCATTAGAAATCTCTATTTCTAACGACGAAATCTCTTATTTCGTCATTAGAAATAAATATTAGAAATCTCATATTTATTTGTATGAACTTAAGGAATAAACAAGTATTTTGTTTGTTTGGGTTTTGGGGGGGAGGGCTCTTTCCTTTATTTTAATTACATACATGAAAAAATGCATTTTCTGATTTTAGGTATTTCTCCAGTTTGATCAGAGTGCTGCATTTTTATATAAACATTAGCTATTTTGAGCTCCTACATGAAAGAACAGGATAAAAGTAAAATGAAATAAGTGACGCCTCTGATTTCATTGCCCTCACAGTAAAAGCTTGGTTTGGGTAATTAACAGGATAAAAGTAAAATGAAATAAGTGAAGCCTCTGATTTCATTGCCTTCATAGTAAAAGCTTGGTTTGGGTAATTGTTGATCTGAAGCATCAAATTAAATCACAGAACAACATTATTGGCATGCAAGTTGTCATGCAACAGATAATGTCTATGGAGTTTTACTTACCGCAGTTTGCCTGTAAAAGTTACATCTTTTGCATAACTGTACAGCAGGAACCCAGCTATTGTAATTCTTTGCAAATGAGTAAAACTTAAAATAAGATGATTTAGATTTAAAAATAGGATACAATAATGATTCAGCATAAACCTGAAATTAAATTATTTCCTTCCATTCGAAGGAAAAAAGAGAAATAAGATTCCATTTTTAAATATTAATGAGATCATCTTTATTGTCTTCCAAGCAGTATTCCTAAAAATCTAATACCAGATTAGTCAAACTACGTCCAGAGGAAATTATGTTATAAAGAAGTCTTAATGTAATCCCATTAGTACAATATTAAATTAAAGTCATTAAGCGGATAATTTTATTGATTTATTTGTTTATTAGGTATTCCATGTGGTAAAAGCGTTCCTTAGAACTGCCTTTACACGAGACAGAGAGGGATTCAGAATGATCAGTCCCTATTGCCTGCAAAATCGGGTCCTGTAATTTTGCTCTAGGCGACTTCTCACTCCTTCACCCAAGTCTGTCTCGATTTTAAATAAACGATCTGGAAGGTCTGCTCTTCCTCTTTTATTACTTTAGGACCCTCATTTGGTAGCGTAATGTGGCCAGATCAAAACAATCCTAGTTCTAAAATATCCAATTTACTACAGTAGCTTGGTCTAAACAAGGAGACAGCTTACAGACAATTTCTTCATATATTTTATTACAAAAGATATCATTTCAACAAGCTTATTTTAACGTTATTCAGTATTTCCAAAATAACCCCCAGCCTTAGCCATCAGTCATTTCCTCTATAAAGTGAAAACAATAAACAGTCTAGCTATATCTTAAATAAGCATCCTTACGCAATCTCAAAATAAAGTCCTGTCGGCTGCATTTCTCTCGGTGTCGTCTCTCTCCCTTCCA